TTTGGCAACGACCAATCTACCATTCAATTTACAATAATTACCCTAAAGTAAAACGTTCTAATAAACTTCAAACATCTCTTTTTTTTTATATATATAAATTCTTCATAACCAATAAACCACAAACGCGGAGCGCATTTAATATTCAGACGTATAAACTCGTTGTAACATTAACGCAACTAACGTACAATAATAAATTTACTCCCTAAAAAACAAAACTATTCAAACAGGCAAAAATTTTACATGACTGTAAAACATCAGACAGCCGTCCCCGTCTGGTCGAATCGTATATACAAATTTTGACGTGAAACGTACCGATAAAAACAGAGATAAATGTCACACTGAAATTGTTTAGCGGTGATTTAAAGGACGCGACAGGAAAATCCATAACAAAAATGACAAAAGTAGATGGCACATGTTCTTCTGCGAATAGGAAGTCATCATAAATTAAGGATGCTACCCACTCCTGTGTAGCATTAGTAACTCAACGAAGCGAGAGAATAGTTGTTCAACGTTTAACTACTACCTTTCACTAGTTAAATGAAAATTTAAGGCATAGTTTCCTGCGACGCGTGAAAACTATCGTTGGCAAGATGATAAACCCTTAACATTCGTTGACTTGAATGCACGCGCTAGCCAAGACCGAATGGTTGCTATCCGATTGTTCCCGTTCCGCGAACTCGTTGTTTAGCTATAACCGAACTGCACTTTCCTGCACTGGCAGAGCCATTTAATGATCCGCGCGTTCCGTTCCACGATGCTCGGCGGATCGCTGGCCCTCTGGTTGCAATCGTCGTTCCCCATGCCAACGCTGCAATTATTGTTCTGCCATTGACTACTGCTCTGGTTCGTCTGGTTATTGCCGACCCACGAGTAAAGGCCTAACGCCGAGTCGACGGAACTAACGCTATCAAAAAATACGGGAGACGATGTCTTTGAGTCTGGTTCAGTGATACGCTGATAATTATCCGAGTCAAGACCCAAACGGTCGAAGAAGTTCTCGAGCTGAGTGATTGACCGTGGGGGCCGAGCAGGTACTTTGTTGGATCGACCGTTATCCTGACGCCAGTAACGATCACTGATATCTGATTTCGATCTCAGAATTGGTCGACCACGGCCTTCTTTCCAGCCGTCGGAAAACCTAACAGAAACATCAACAGCTTCATGATTGTCTGGTCGATATCAATGGATTAGACTAGGACACGTTTCTCACTGAAACAAATAACTATCCCCTCTCTCTTAAATGGAAATCGAATTAATACAATACTCGGTATCGTTCTCTGCCAAGCCTAACGACCAAATTTGGCCTCGTCTTTCAAGAAGTATTATGACTTTATTTGCAACGTTACATGTCCCAGTGGAGAATATGTTGACAGTGTTCAATGATAACAGAACCCAGTATAACTCAGAACATCTGGAACGTGTCCAAATGTATTACCATACGTACCTCGAATTGCACGTCGGACTGTAATCCGTTTGACTGTTGCTACTTTCGGAATCGGGGCTGTAATGTCTCACGACAGAAAGCGGGGTACCGTTAGCGTAACTACCTTTCCTCGAGCGATCCTTTTCCGTCGAGTGTTGGGTAGATGCACCACTGTCACGACGTATGTGACTCCAACAGTCCTGTAACAGTACAATCAAAACGTTACCGTCTGACGTCCTCCAGAACTTACCGAACGGGTTTCCGTCATTTTGTTTAACGTATAATTCTTGTAATTATGTTACTTGTATAATTGGCGGCGGTTCGCTCCTGTGAGTACAATGCCCGGATGATCCGCCGGAGTCCCTCGCGGTTGCTCCATGACTCAATTTACTGGAGCCAGATGATTTTTGAGTTCGACCTCCGGACGACAGCACGCTGCTGGCATCGCCGCCGCCGGAACCCAAAGAACGTCGGATATGCCTGGAACTGGAACACGCGATCGATCGTCAATAATCATTACACCTTGCAATAAGTTTATTTTTCATTACGGTAATTACATCTTCGAAACATGCGTCTGGAAGACAAAGTATATAAAAACATCTGTGCAGCGACTGTCCTCTGACGTTACCTTTTACCGTGACCCACCGTACATGGTTGCAGAAACAATGGAGCACCCATTTGCAACGTGAATTGCGTAACAGTGCGAAGCGTCCAAAGAACTAGGAGCACTGGGAACGCGTCCTTCGAGCGGAAGAGATTTATGGGACAGAACGAACGCACAGTTCCAACGATTTTTATGGCATAATTGCAGACAGTGCGCGGCCGCATCGGGAAGAATTATTGGAGTACACTGTTGGTATCAAAGATACAGCGATGACGGTCGTAAAATTGAATGGAGGCTAAAGTACTCGTGTCTGGAGCACTGGGACAGAGAAGCGGGCGGAAATATAGGGTGAGAAAGCTCTTAGGACCTCGCTCAGGATTGTATGAACTGTCTCGGTTCTATTTGCGTCGGGCAGCTTTTCGATGGAACGTCGCAGACGTAAACTTAGAAACACATCCCGGTACCCTTCAATATAGAGGACTCAAAACTTGAAAGGTCACGCCGTGATGGCAATATTTAACTTAATAGACACGATACACAAGTGTATACAACTTCCGTTACATGTAACGATATAAATATTATTATTCAACGTTAAACGATTCGTTAGACCAACGCATTCTCTCGCAACAACAATCTTCACACCGTAAAAGTTTTATTAAATGCAACGTAGCCTCTCGGAGTAAAATATTTACGAAACTATAACAATGAAGATCGGTGTTCCGATATCGTGTCGTGAGCTGCGGCTTTGGATAACAACGCCGTGAAATTAATTTCCGACGATGTTAGCGGCCGCGTTGCCTCATTGAAAACTCGCGTGACGATGGCGTCGAGTACCTGCGGTAGCAAACAGAGTCCCGCTTGAAACTGTGTTCCGAATAATCTGAACTAGTTTCGCAATCCGGGCAATTGTTCGAGGATGGATGGTGGCCCGACGGCTTGGTCGACTTCGTCGATGCGCGCGGCGACAGCGACGCTCGACGCCGGGTGCTCGTGTGAAGGTCAGGCAAAGATTTGTGGCAGACCGTGTTCTCCACCGACGGCGAGCTGGTGGATTTTCTTCCGGCCCGACCGGAAGTGTGCGAGTGCGAGTTACTTCGCCCGAATTTGAAGCGAGCGTCTTGCTGCAAACAGTGCTGCGAACATAGGGCACAATCACAAATCGATAAAAATACGATACATACTCCTAAACGTTATTAACCTTTAATCGTTTGCACTCCGTAGGCGCCCCTCAGTCTCCAATTGATTTGACACAGCAAAAGTATAGAGTTTGACATTTAATATTAAACTTTGTACAACGCATCGACATGTGAATCATTAAAAAAATGTATCTCATTAAAAAATCTTGAGTATTTCTAAGGAGAAACTTCTGGAGTGCAAAGGGTTAACAAACCGGAAGTATTTCCAGTTGACTTGCGAAAAAATACCGTAACATAGATAAGTTGAAACTTCACAGAAGTGACCAGCACGATGCTTAACTTAATTGTAAATATTACAGCAATAACAGTGGTATCAATAAAATGATTTTGACTGAGTAATTAAAGTGCCATGCCGCTTGTATGGCGTTGCTCTGTTTAAGGTTAATAAACACTGTTTAAACGTAATATTGAAATTTGGACAAACATAACATTTGGTAAATACAGGGTAGTAAATACATCGTAGATCTAATAGCTAATAAATACAGGCAAATTGGAGATTTTCCTACCGAAACCGTTACAAGGCTACCATCGAGTCGCAGAGGAAACTACAATTTCCTGGACATTCGAAATTCGTAGAGATTTATTAAAACGGCCATTACGAGTTCCGTGGCGATACATCGATCGTGCTAAACACGTGTTTGACGCGGCGAAGGAATAATGTTACGGCTTCCGTATTCGACTCGCGAACGCGTGTGTCGTACAACTTCCGGTTCCTAAACGCGCTTCCTCCCCCGCGTCTGTTCGGTACAATTCATTGGCAGCGAGCACGTACCCGGTGTACACGGATGTAATTTACTAAAGTACAATGAATACTCGGCGAGAGAAATATTAATGGATTCCACTTTCCAAACAGACCGTCGTCCGCTACCATTTATATCGAACATGAGCGAACGAAAGGAACCTTTCGAAATCGATCTCAATAAATAAATACAATACGATCAATAAAACAAACTTCAATGAAAATATAATATCGTTCCGTTCAACTCTTTGCGGAGGAGAATTTTTAAAGTATTCGAAACCTTCAGAAGTTAAATCATACATTGAACTCCCAAATACCACAAAAAAAGAGAATATACACTAATCTCTTGTTCGAACAATTAAACTCGCATAGAATTTCATATTTTAGACGCAAGTTTAATACCGACAAAACGACGACATTCGTGCTCAAAGGATCAACAGAGACATTTAACGTTAGCTAAAGTTTCGTTTGTCGATCAAATATTGTCAGTGCACCCGACGGCGAAAAAGAGATTCGATTAATTCCCTGCAAAGTCGGTCTCGCAGTGTTTGGTCGGTGCGCGATCGATTCTTCGTACACACCTTCCCGCGATCCTCGTCGCGGAAATTCGGCGACAGGCTTCCAGGCGAGTACCGGAATTTCTCCTCCTGCGGGATACCGTTCGGCTGCATGACGGACTGCGACGGCCCGTCGGGGAAAAATACATTCTCCTTGCTGTCGGTGTTCAGCAGCCGACGCAGCTTCGTCTGCAGCTGATCTCCGCCGGTGCTGCTCGGCGGCCCTGAAATCGTGCGCCGCTGCGGAACGGGAACCAGGCGCGGACTCTTCGGTGGCAGCGCGGGTGGCAGTGATTGTTGAGGATTCAGAATCCCGTCCGCTGTCGGATGAAACAGAAATCGTTCGGTTCAAACCATCGTCATTTCATTCAAATCGATCATTCAGAATACCGATACTTCGTAAAATGAATTCTGAAAATGAGTTCTCCGTAAAGATTCTATCGGTGTTTCAACATTTTATCTAGCCTACTAATCAAACTTTCCGATTGCGAACGCTTAACGATCTGTAATTTATTCCCACGCGACTGTACAGCCCGCAAGAATCGTCAGCAGTGCGTCGTCGATCGCGAAGTAAACTGCGAAGAGACTGACCCTCACGCGACGCGACAACGTCGAAATACGCTGTTCGATTGAACCATCCATTCGGAAGTAACGCGTCTAGATGTAAGGATATCGCGTATCGCGCCGCTCGTAATTACTTCGGAACGGAAAGCAATACGTGGCTCGGCTGACGAGACAGACGAGACGTCTGCGGTCGAGGCGGGTTGGGCCCGAAGAATTTTAAACGGTGGAAAAAGCCTGGTAACAGCTGGAACAAACGCCGATCGACGAGTCGAAAGAAATGGAAAATAGAAAATCGATAGGCGAAAAGCAGCTGGCATCTAGGTCGTCGATGAGGAACAACGAAACGTGTTCCGATGTTGATCCTAATGCTCTCGATGACCGATTCCTACACCTGCGCGACGCGAAACCGCCGACCGGCAAACGAGCCGGTCATTTCCCGCAAGAATACCGCAACGACCGCAACGGATTAAGTGAAAACGCGCGATCACTTAAGCCCGCGGGGGACAGCTAACGCGCCGCGATCTCCGGAATTTTAGGTGTTTAACCTCTCGTCGCTGGGAACGACCTAAACCTTCGCGGTATCCTCGGCGAACAGCGCGAACGATCTTACGCGTGACTGTACAGGAATTCCCTTTGATCTCCGGTGAAAAATATCGGCGAAGTTCACTGTCGGAACACTTAACTGTTCGAGGTGCACACCGGTGCTGTTGTTGGCCTCTATCGAACTGATATCGATGAACGAATTAACTCGGGAAAACGGCGGCCGCCGCGCGAAATATATAAAACAGAGCAGGAAACGCGAGCGTACCCATAAGGGAATACCTAGTATACGATCTCGCGAAAGCGTTTCAACGACCAATTAAAGCGATCTCCGGTGTGCGATGCATGGCGGAGTCTGGCCCGCGGCAGTGGAATGGAAAAGCGACCGGCGCGGTCGGTTACATCGAAACCAGATCGTATAGTCAACCCCTTGTCCTGCGTCCTGTCGGAATCGCGACGGAACTTCCGGACGGAGGTTGCTAGAAACGGGGTTAATCTGCGGAGATTCGGGAGAGATTCGGAGTAACGTTTGCAGCGAATTTTTAGGGAAATTCGGTCGGTAGTTTGGAATAAAGTTTGGAGCAAATTTTGAGTGGAATTTCGAAGGAACTCGAAGCAACCTTGAATAAAGTTTAGAACAAATGTTAAATCAAATTTCTAATCAACTCCTAGATAAACTTGGAGTGAATTTTGTATAAAATTTGGAAGGAACTTCGACTGAAAGTTACAGTAAACTTCGAGTAAAGCTTCTAGTCAACTTCGAGGTAGATTTCGAGCAGAAGTACGCGTTCTCAGACAAACTGCTCAAGACGAAACGCGTAATCCTTCTTCCCTTGACTAATAAATTCTTCAAGATAAGCTAAGCTCGGGGAGCGAGCAGTGGAAGAGATTATAGGGCGAAGCATTAGGCAAGGGATTAAATCGATGATCACCGGAGCGGTGAGGCGGATGCGCGGCGAAAAGTTTCGCCCGGTTAAACTTACGCCTGTCCTGTTCGTGGCAGGATGCCCAGCAACAGGGTGGCGTCAGCTGAGCGGGTGGCAGCTGCGACGGTGACGTCGGTTGCATGGAGCATGTCGGCGCCGCGGTACCGCCGCACTTCCTGAGCAGCCTCGGCGGCGCTCCCGGCGCGGTCAGCTGCGACACCTGAAGATGCCCGCTGTTCTTCAACTCCTGCTTCCGGTCCAGCACGGTCTCGCTCTTCACGTAGAAGGCCTTCGTCTCCTGGAGCAGCTCGACCGCGCTCTTCCGCTTCCCTACGGCACGTGACAATGAAAGCTGTACAGTTAGGCCACGTCTTTAGACTCGTTTTCAAACTCGTCGCTCCGTTATCGCTAGATCGACGAATTCACTTGACGGAACGTCTGGATTTTTCATTTTTTAAGAAAATTCGTTAAAGGAACCGATTGCTTTTCGATGCATTAATGTTCTAGAACTACTCCAATTATCGATATCTTCGAAACATTGAATATTCGAAATGATTTTGGAAATAGTTTCATTTGAGTACTGTAATGAATGCCTGAAGAAACTGAGAATAATCTACTGTTACAATTTTTATAGGAATTGCATATTAATCATATTAAATTCTCGGTAGATCTAGTTGTTCTAGAGTTTGTTGGATAATGATCAATTAATTTCAGATGCTTCGATCTTCGAATCGATCGTTGATTCTTTATGTTAACGCTTCATTTAGAGCTCCTGATCAAGGCAACTCCCTAACTACTACGGTTTTTACCATCTGAATACATTATAATTTAATTCGAAATCAACGAAATTCACTGAATTTCCATTGAACTCGAAATCGAGAAGCCGATTAGTAGATTCGCGGTAGACAAACTGTTAAGACGCGTTCGAAACGCGGCGAGGACACCCGCGTTGGCAGTCCTAATCACTTCCTTAACCACGAGTACATTCGTGATTGGCAGCGAGTGAGTTAAGTAACCCTACCGGACGAAGACAGCGAACAACAGCTCTCTCCCTCCGTTTCGCTTCCTGTAAACGGACACCGAGAGACACCGGATAGACACGACCGACAGGGTTAAGCCACGTGCGCCGGCACGAGCCCCGTATTTCCTACCCCTGCCGCCGATTCGCCGGTTCAACACGCTCGCTACCGATGTCACGTATTTCTACGACAATCCTCTACCGAACCCTTTACACGTTCGCTGCCAACATTCGTTTCAATAGCAGTCTCCGGCGTTACAATATCTTACGAAACGCAAGACATCGTTTTCACGGAACGCAAGTGATAAACCACCCTCTAACCCCAACGAGAATCGACAAATGTGTTACAATATGATTCGCTTGTAACGCGTGGAATGTCCGATTGCCACGATTAGCTCGAAACGAAGAGAAATCCTTTAGCGATACTTTTCATCGAGATAATCGTTCGATTCTACGCATTCTGTCCAAGTTTCTAGTCTTCCCATTCGATTCTTATAAAAATCCAGTTCCACCGATTCATTTTCGACAACAAACTGTCTCGATTTCCACCTCGGAAAACGCTCACTCCGCAATACTTGCAAGGCGCAGGAGTTTCCCGGAGGAATCTCGAAATCTCGTTGCGAATGTAATACTACCGTGACGAATCGTACACACGAAGATTCAATAAAATCACGCGAACCGTTCGTAATATCATATTCGGAGAGATACACCGCCGATAGACGCGTGTTCGCCGAGAAAATTGAGGCCTATAAAACTCGTTCAATCGCATAGAAAGTCGTGCTCCCACTTTCTCTGGATATTACGTCAGTTTGTTAGCAGCTTCTTCGCTGAAGGACAAAGATAAAGCGGCGAGGAGATTTTTTTCTTCCCCCGATATATTCGTTCGACGAGCCCCGATCCCGCAAACAGGAAATATACGAGGCGGCTCGCCTTCGAGGAGATTCGCGTGAAATATAAGGGTGATTTTTCCCGGAAGCCTGCTGAAATACGTCCCTCGGGATGAGACGCGCTGCGAGCAAATGATGTTGTGTATTCTGATATTTACGTGGACTCTTGATTAACACGTTGAACGCCATGGGGGTCACCGGTGACCCCAAGCAAATCGAATTGCTATAATACACTGAATTAAACGATGATCATTCGCAAACAGTTCTATATTATAAATAATGCTATCCATTGCGCTGACATTCAGTTTGATAAACGTGCAATGATAATATAACGACACTAATGAAATTTAAATTGATGAAACTGAGGGTTCTACGGTGAAAACGCACCGCGAAATTTCGCGTTGCGAGCCACGCCGACCTTGCCTGATAGTTTCACTTTATTTCCGGATGGCCGCGACAAACATCCTGCCGCGCGGTGAATTACCGGAAACGATGAACGAAAGATCTCCACAATTGAGTCTGTCATTATCCTCGGCAATGCAGCGTGCGTCGAAACCGTCTGAGTCCGTAGAAGTCTGCGGTGTCTCCATAAATATGCTCGTTATAATACGGTTATAAGTATCAATTAGACGTATATACTCAATTAAACACACGATTATTACGTGTAATCATCTTCCTTTCTAAAGCAATATCATTCTCGATGACTGAACTAGGAAAAGAAGTTACTGAAAATATCGCTAAATCTTATTTTCTTCTATTGTTTAAGCAATTTATATACTTTCGCTTTATCCACTGAAAGTTTCGTATATTTCAAAGGATCTTTCCTTAGAAGATTAACCCTTTGCACTCGACGGGAGACTCTGATTTGCAAAATTAAGTCTAATATATAAAAACTTTCGAGTGCAAAGGGTTAACACTAGAACTACCGTACCACTACATTCAAAAAGACGTAGAACTACAGTTAAAATGACTGGTTTCGATTTTTTTGTTTAGCAATTATCGATATCTTCGAAGCATTGAATACTCGAAATGATTTTGAAAATGAATAGTTTCATTTGAGTACTATAATGAATGTCTGAAGAAACTAAAAATAATCTATTGTTACAATTTTTATAGGAATTGCGTATTAATCGAATTAAATGCTCGGTAGTTCTAGTGTTAATAAAGGAGCAAGCGTTCACTCTTATTCAAGCAGAGAATTTTCTTTAACCGATCAACCGTCGGTTTTCTCTCACACAACGATGTCACAGAAATTCTAATTCTAGTCTCAGACAATTCTTTGATCTTCCCGGAGTTCGGTAGCTTCCTCCGCCAATGCCGTGTGCACGTGTACGCGTTGCACGCACGGACCCCGGGTTAAAGTGGCACGTTTGAAACGGCGACAAGGCGAGCGAGCGAGCCAGTACCCGTTAATGATCGGCACGCCGACATCTGCGGCTTCCTCCCGTTTTCGCGTGCCACGTACGCCGATGATTGATGACAGGCGAACCGACACGCCCCGGGGAGCCGACACCCCCGCCTTGTAACAATCATCGATACACGACAGCGATAACGTCCGGAGGACCCATCGAATCCTGCTATTCGATCGCTGACCCCGCGCGATTCGATACTCCGTCGCGATATTAACCGTTTCACTGCCGCACGGCATAGTCAAGCTTCTCCGGTTCACGGGACGCGTTAATTTCACGTGCATCGAACGTTCTGAATGTTATTTGCTAAACGCTTACGTTGATTTTCGCCGATGGGATTACACTGATAGGTACCTGAGGCATTAACCGACTGGAAGTATTCCAAGTTTGCTTACCGCGAGAACATATCGTGATATAGATAACGAGGAAAGAAATTTATAAGAGTAGTACTGTATTTAATGTGTTAATTGCGAATATTACAATGCTGATAAAGGTAATAAAAAGTTTCATTTGTTTCATCATTTCAGAAGCTAAACGTTCTTCCTTCTGAGATCTTAATATTTCTTTTCTGCGAACTACTTTTGCTTCTGAACAAATCAGATATTGAAACAATGTAGATTTTTCTTCGTTTATATGTTTTCTTATTGGTTGGTTAAAGAATGTCGTTTGTACCATTGGAAACGTTGAGTGTTTCTAGTGGAAGACTTTCGAGCGCAGGGCTAAATTTCCAAGTGAACGGATTTCTCTAGGAACAATAGACTAAACTGTACGACAATGCCGAGGAATTGTAAGTGAACGCTACAACATAAACAGAAACATAACGTTATTCATAATTTCAATGATTGAACGTTATCGTGCGATTGACGGGTACACGGAGCTTCCACATTGTAAGTCATTCAGACATTCGCTTGTTTTTATTCGACGATAAATCACTTGATACTCTTACAGAAATTCCTGTAACGAGGCTATGCTCTGCGAGTCGCGACTGAATGTCGCATCGGGTCTGAAGGGTTAAACGCAATTTATGGGCACGATTGTACTCTCTTTCTCTCTCTCCGCGGACGAGCGTCAATTGATTGTTGCCGCGACAATCAGTGGCGCGCTACCCCGCCGACAATGAATTTAAATAAAACATGTGTAAGACGCTAACTAGCGTTGAACGGCATCGAATCCGCCTCGAGGATGAACGTACGAATTCACTTGTTGATCTGGCATTCGTCAATATTTCATTATCGATATATAAATCGCTCAGAAGTCAATGAGGTTAAGTACAGAAAACAAAAATTGAGAAAACTAATGTTTCGCCTTTTGAAATGATTGCATGACCTATTCGTAAGCTGTGAAAACAAAGGATTATTCCAGGAAAATTTACGAAAATCAGGGAACAGAAAATCGATTTAACCGCATTGGCTGCTGAGCGACTCTCATAACAATTTGAATTTGAATTTGAAAATCCGGCAGTTGGAATGTCAACGTTTGATCAGCAGCCAATGCCATAGGATAACGCTTTGTTTAATACGAAGTAGCGATCGTCGATCGCGATTTCCAATACGGACAGAAAGGATTCGACCGCAATTTGAATCGGTTTAATCGGTTCAATTGGTTAAAAGTAGTCAGCTGCCAAGCGGAATGATTCGGTTATCTCGGTCCCGCGAGCCTCGCGGTTTTTCGCTTCAACAAATATCAGGAACATATATTCATAAGTTTCCGTCGATACACGATGCTCGCCGTTCAGAGTTTCGTAGGCTCGTTCGACTAAGAAACAGGCGAAAGTAAATAGTACGGCAAAGGGTTAATCCAAGGAACGAAAATGAAAGGAAGAAAAACAAAGTAAATTAATCACTAGTTGATCGTTCTTCAGAAAAACGTGACAAATTTTAACCTCACAGCTATTAAGCTATTTCAAACAAGTCCGCTTTGTAATTAAAAAGAGCAAGCGTTCACGGTTATTCACGCGGAAAATTTGTCTTAGCCGGTCAACTACTGGCTTTACCTTAATTCCTCCAATTCTGCAGCGAGAAACTTCAATGAACCCTCATTACCGCGCGATCGTTCGATAAAAGGGAAATCGGAGCCACGTAAAATCTCGTTTGATCGATTCGTTTCATGAAAATGTCCTTTAATAACGGGGAAATTACTCCCCTAAACGGCGCGGTGTATCGGTTCGTTCGAGTCGATTAAAGAAGCGCGAGAATTCGTTCCCTTTGAATTGAAGGTCAGAGAAAAACGGCCGGCCGCGATAATGGCGAGGGCACGCTCGGGAAAAAATGGCGGAGATAGATGACGTAGCCGAGCAAAGTTGCGAACTCCGTAATTCTCCCATTTCGTTGCTTTTTGCCGCGGCGTGACTCGGCGATGAAAGAAACTTCGAATAACTCGGTGTCGAAACACAATGGCTTCTGCGAGGGAAACGCAGCCGGTGTCCCAGAAAACTGGACAGTCCTTCGTTTCATCTCGGAATCGATGGAATAACGCGAAGAATGGAACGGAACAGTGATAAGGCGCACCGATAACGATAAAAAGGAAACTTGAGTCTTGTCTCGCAGGATCTATATAGGTTTTGCATTTGAAATTCACCCTCTTGCTAATCGAGTGTGTACTACATATACATTTTACTTCGAAAGTCATCAAACGTTAATTAGTTCGCAAGAAATCTAAGTAAAATTAATTGAAATTATCGCAAGACAACGAATACCTTTGCCGATAAACTACATGCAACGTTTAATATTTTTGTTTCTTGGAGTAATCTAGGGTTATTTGTGGAAACAAATGACTGTGCTTCGCATTTAGCTAATGCTCCTCTCGGTCAGCAGCGTCAATTATCGCCACTGATTCGAAAGGGCAGATATTTGTAGTAGGAATCAATTGGCGCATAAGAAACGGCGATCGAGGAATTGGATCGAGGGTCCAAGGATCGCTAAAAATAATTAGACGCGAGCTGAACATTCGGAGGAACGAACCGCTCGGGCCATTTTAACCACACGCTAACAAACGAGCGCTATAAGAAGCTCCGTGTCCCTTGACACGGTTGGAGGAATCTTCAAGTAAGACGTTTCTAAAAAAAGAAGCCGCGTCGGGCGGGGGTTCCTTTGGTTTTTGTTTGACACTCGGCGGCGTGACATCGGGAGGAACTTTTTGTGGCTTGCGACGTATCACGCGAGAGACGTGCTTTTCATTTCTCCGGATCGAACTTTGTCGGTCCGACCATCTGACAGTGATACGGACTATCGACACTATAACAAGTGTCTTAAAATTTGCTCCGATATTCACAACAGCGAAAACAATGGACAATCAAGATTGATCGTGAAAGGTTCGTATTGCAGATCGAGGGTTAAAATCGGAAAATCTCGAGGAATCATGGCTCGATGATGCTACTTAAGAAGGAGGTCAGGAATTATCATGAATATCACATGATCTCCTTATCGTTCAAAGGTAATCAGAAATGACTAACGGTAATACGGCGTATCTATGTCGATTCCCCGCCCGATGCCTCTCCGCGCTGTACGGTTTCGCTCAAATCGAATAAAGAATTGACCGGAGTTCGAATAATTCAATGGAACGGAATGGAAGTCGATGTTAAATGCGTCGAGTAATTCGATATTTCGCGTATAAATTACTCGGTACACGGACTCGGCGAACGAACTAGGAAATTTAGGAATCGATAAATCATAGCAGTAAGTAACGCTTCCTTCGCGAACACCGTGAAATCGAAGTAAATCGCGTCGGATCCGATTGGTTAACGCTAGAACTACCAAATGGGTCGAAATCAGCAATTCCTAAATTCCGCTGCAATTATCGAGGAAAAACAGATGCTTCTCTAATATGAGGAAAGTTATGAAATCGGTTTAGAAATATGCTGGAGTAACAATGTTGGAGTTTCCGTAGAAAAATTAGTAAAATTTAATTGAATTACTCGGTGGTTCTAGTGTTGATGCCTGTATTTACGTAACACGAGTTTCCTGAGAAACTTAATCAACGACGTTGATTCACAGAATTCCAAGATCTAAATTTATCAGTCGTACAGGAGAAAACGCGAGATTATGAATTATGGATTGAATAATCTAAATGAAACATTACCTGACAAACTGTGGTACAATTTTTAATTGGAACACGTATGAACCACAAATGAAGATATTGTTCCCAATGCTTCGGACGAAAATGGTGTCCATTATTCTCAATTTCCGAAACAAAATGAAACAACCGTCAGCCGTGCTATTCAGTTTTCAAAACGAAAGCATCGCCAGCAGTATCCTCGATTCTGAAACCGTAAATTGCGTTCCTCGGCGCTCGTTACGTCGACGAAATCGCGTGTGTCGGTCACGGTAGCCGATGACATGTGTTCGACACAGTGTGGGGGACTTTCTTTTGAAACGGGGCTGAAGCGAGCCGCGATAATCGCGGCGGAAGAGAGATAAGAAAACAGATGAGCCAGCAGCTAGCTCGAGGAACTGCGGATTCCGCGGCGACAGAAATCCGTGTCTAGACGCGCGGAACGCGGCGGTTGCACGGTGCACTTGAACCGCGACGAATCCTCGCTGTCTTTGAAAAATAATAACACTACCGCCGCGTCATTCGAGAAAATAACCGAGAAATCTCCTCGGAAAGGCAAGAAACACGTACACTCATTGAAAGTGAACAACACTCGTGAACAAACGACCTTTTATCTTAACATTGCAACTGCCGAGCAGTTCAACTGTCTTTGAAATTGTCCTGTAGAAACCGCAACAGTGCAACTACTGAGGACTTCGATTAACTTGCAATTCAGTTTGCACAGCTGGATCAATTTCTCTAGTATTTTATTTATCTGTTCAATAACTGGAATAAATTAAATAGATTTTAATCTATTCGATAGTTCTAGTCCTTCGCGGAGAAACGTCGATATTTCATCGAGATGAAACTTATGTTTCCAATACCAAACTGCAAATAAATAATTTAACTACTCTATTATTTAAGTTATTATATAAGTACTAAGTTTCCTTATTCTCTATTATCTAAGCTATTTAACTTATTACTCATCTAATGCGGCAGTATCCGCGAAGGTTTGGTATACCTTAAACAATCTTCACCCACGGAGTAGTATTAAATTCATTGTCCACGAATAATTAACGTACTCGTTCCATACGCGTTATTAGCTATCCAAATAACACGTTTCAATTACAAACTGTTCCAACAACGGCGTAATCGACACGGTAGCGGCGTGTCAATAAATGCTCGAACGCTCCGAAGATCATTAGAATCGACAGGCTGTTCAAGTGTGTTTGTCCCCTCGCCGCGAAAGGGATAATTAATGACGATAACGGTGAAGGGTGAAGATAAAACGGGTCCGGTCGATAGGGACATCGTTCAAGGATAGAAAACTTTCCCGGGTAAGGTTGCGCGGTTCACGGTGTGAATAATGAACGGTTTTATGAGCCGCGAATTCGCCGCACGTGCCGCCGAATTGATTTTCCGCCGGGTTCGGATCGGTTCGAACCGTTTCAAACGAGTTCGGCAGCTTCCGGTCGTCCTGCACGTGAAACTGGCAGATCAGACATATTTTTCGCACGCGATTGCAGCGTTCCGCTGAATTCTTCAACGGGGGAGAAGTAATGGACGACGCGCGAGTTTTTTATCCCACGGTCAGCGTCTCTTTTTATATCTCCGAGGGTTGCGCGGAATGCAGAAAAAAGGCTGATCTTGAAAAGCTGACACTTTGAACTTCAATGTCAATGTAAAGGCGATACGCGTACAGGGAATAAATACGTCGGCTCGCGACGTAGCGCAACCCTTCGACCTCTGCACTCGTCACCCGTGAATTCGTACCGATGGATCGATGGAAGATGCTCAGAGAAGTTCATGGGACTTCATCAGTTTCTGAAAATGAACAATTTCTAAGAAGAAACAGTAAGTGACTCTATTATTCGTCGAACGACGATTCGATGTTAAAGTGAAGTGTAGAAAACCGAGTGTATTCGATGAACGAGCCGCAATGAAAATTAGATGAAGAGCCAACCTCTTTAACGAGCTATTCCAGTCGATTAAAAATAAGATAAAAACTTTGCTAACCTTCATTGAAGTTTCAAGTTAACGGCGGTACGCTCGACCACGCGTGTCACGAGCGATCGCAAACATCCGCGAGTTTATTAATAAATAGACCGAGGATTTTGATGCACTTATGGGAAATTCGAAAGCGCGCCGCACGCGATACCGAGGAGTATGCAGAATATGCGAAGTACATCGCTTTCTATGGTACCTTTCGGAAGAGATCGTTCTCCGTCCGAACTCCATAAGTTTCCATGAAGACCTACAGTCTGCTGATAAGCTTATTACGAAGAGATTGCAGACTTTCATGCGTTTATGAGAATTTTGCAAGTGTGAAATTGCTCAAGGTTAACAGGAAAGCATGTGTAAAATATCCAATGTACAGTACTTTGTGTGGTATAACAAGTTTTCCAATAAATTTCACAATAAATTTCACAAGAAATATTCTGATACGTTTTCCAAGAAATATTTTAATAAATCTCATGATAAACATTCTAAGAAGCTTAGTAAATATTCCTCTAAGCGTGTTGTCATAGACATCGATGGTTCAACGGACTTACCGGTATGATCCACGTGCCGATGATGATTCCTGACGTACGGGGGTGCCGGATTCCTGGGCTGCATGTCCCAGTAGGTGTTTCGACTGTTCCCAAAATTGTTCACCCGTTGCTGCTGCGAAGGCGAAGTCTGCTTACAAGGCAACCTAGCCATGGCAGTCATCATCTTCTTCTACACCACCTCGGCCGCCGAAAAATTAATCACCTCATCGAGTCCCCTCTTTGTTGCGCCGTCGCTTCAACCCCATCTTCGGATAAACGTCTCCTCTCTGGAAAATTGCCAAGCGATTACATCGAATCGTCTAATCAACATGTAATGATCATCGGAGAAATTCTAGGAATATTCTATGCCTGCGGTAGCTCTATAATCTAACGTTATTATAAGTTAAGAGGTTAACATCGTTAGACGAAGATTAACACCCATCCATCAAACGATAAGTCCCTTCATTTTTGCCTAACTGGCACCGAGAAATCTCGTTTTTATATAATGACGCCAAAATCGGCGTCAGTGCAATTCAGTTTCCTGAAAATTAGCCGGTACGCGATGTGTTAAAAGCGAACCACCGGTATATCCGTCGCAACGAGATACCGCATTCCGATACCTGATTGCTCGCAAAACGATTCCCCGTTAATTGACTCGTAAGCAGATTGCCGGGGCTCGAAACGATCGCCGCGGCGGCAACGGAAAAAACGTGATTCACGCCGCAACGGAGACAGCCGGCTCAGAATACAAAGGATCCGCTGCTTGTTAAATATTTAATCAGCCACACGCACGCCTCTCGATTCTTCGCGCCACCCTATTCTAACCTGGGCACAATGGCGCCGGGCGCATTGGGCTGGCCTATTGTCGACGGCCGTTTTAAATAAGCGCGAACGCCGGCGCAGGGGACACTTCAAGGGGGCAGCCGAGCACCGTTCGACTTTTTCGATGGTTCCGCTAACGATTCCCCTTTCACATGGTAAGCGAACCCTCGCTCGACAACCACCGAGCGGTTGTGCAAACGAGAGATGCTAATTCACGAAAATTCCAATTAGGATTAATTGTGTTTCTCGAACGGCTCGTTGGTTTTCTCCAAGTTACCAGTCCAAATTCTGCGCGTGTCTAGGACATTTTGACTTTTATTATTCGACTAGTGGTTACTTATTTCCTTCGCAATTAGCGTTACATCGTTCGATTGGTATGAATGATTGTCGTTTAGTCGAACGAGTCTTCCGAGGGTCGCGAGTCGATTAACGCCTCGATGGAACAATCATCCTCCGCTTATCAGCCCCGCTTATTATTAATGCGTTCATTATTTACCATCCGTCACTTACTCGGTATTTACTGCCCATTTTTCATTACTTTCATTTCCCATTCATTCCTTATCCCCATGTTTCCCGATCGGTCAAACAAATTTCGTCGCAACGCGAGGCTGGATCGAGCCAAGAGCTTGCAAGTCCCGTATCGGACGTTATCGCGATCGAGCCTCGATCGGTTCCGTTCGCCGTCGCGCGAAACCGTGCACGCATCGACGCGGACGGAACGCGATCCGCGGACGACGCTCGAGGAGGTCGTAGCCACCGAACGAGCCGCGATTACGCCGCAATTAAACAGCCGGCCGTAAATCAAGTCCCGATACCGGGAATAGTGAAAGCACTCCGAAGCATCTTCGTTAAAGCGATCGCCAGGCCCGCGGATCGTTCCGGGAAAACCGTGCTCCGGAGCGGCGGTGAAAGCTGCCGATCGATCGATCCAAAAGTAAAGTAAAACTGCGGACTGGACGCAACGCGCGAAATAAACGAGCTTGGACTTTCTTTCGGAAACCAGTCGCCGTTCACTTTTTTTCATCCTCAAGCGCCGATGAAAGGTGTGCCGGAGACGTCGCCGGCTACTTCTCAAAGATCTGACCTTTCGAACGCTTTCTTCCGTCACCTCGCGAGGGTTGGGACCGGTTATTTATCGCTCAGCTGAAAATAATGCGCGCTTTTTGCGCTGCTCTTTCTGCATCGTTATGAGACTTGAACGAAATTTGTGTCTACTTTGTTCTCTGAATTCTGCTGCTTCGGAAGATTTATTTAGCAGTTTGGTTATGTATGGTACTAGAGGTTAACAATAGAAGTACTTGTTTGTTTCGCAATTATTGATACCTTAGAAATACCTTCGCTTGTATACTATGATTGTCTGAAGAAACTGAATAACCTATTGTTACAATTTTTACAGATTACACATTCACCGTGTCAAATCGGTAGTTCGTGTTAATTAAGATTTTCGACACTCGAACGCTTCCACGGTTTTCAACTTTCCACTGAACTGTTCATTAACGCGTGAGCTAGATTTTCTGATCTGAAGCAGTTAGACTATTATTCTGAGCCAGTGATTTATGAACCGACCTACTATCCCGACGTTAGCTCGACGGACAGGCCAGCAGCGGTCTATTGCTAAGAAATGCGGCTTCGATCGGTCAGTTTTCATCCGATTTTCGATGGTGATTCTCCATTCTCGAATGGAATTTCACGTAGCCGAGCGAAATCACAAAGAAAACACTCGACGGAAGAGGCCTGTTGCCCCTGCGCCGTTCCGGCGTGCATCGAGTCATCTCCCGACAGCCTGTACATCTGTTTTTACGAGTGCACACGCCGCGATGACAGGGGCCGCGGTAAAGAGACATGCAGTCTAGGGTAAAGGCTGAAAGATAAACAGAGGTCGATGAATCACTCTCGACACGGCCGCTCCGCAATATTACGTATCGACGGCCGATTCGAAGAAGGGGGATACGCCGCGTTAACCGGCGAATATGATGATCTCGCGCCGAGAAATGCCACGGGGAATAATAAATGGGATTGCTTTCGGCCGACTTAGCGAGCGCGAACTCTACGTCTGTCCTCCTCCGATATCTGGAACTGATTTCTGGGACGCGCCACGTGTCCGCTCCGAGAACAGACTTATCGATGGGCCACGGATCTTTATACACCTACGGTTCGTGCAGGTGCTTCGGTAACGTTCCATTCGGTTTCAGAATGAATCGTTGCGAACCAGTTTCCTTGTTTCGCAATCATTGATATCTTGGAAGCGTTGAGTATTCGAAATGATTCGAACAATAAGTAGCTTCGCTTCCATACTGTGATCAATATACGACGAGAGTGATTATATCGTTACAATTTTCATAAGGATTACATGTTAATCGCGTTAAACGCTCGATTGCACTAGTGTTGACTGCAGGAAATGAACTCTAGAGTAATGAGCTATACACAGCAGGCACTTGTTCCGCGGGTATAAATAGACGCGATAGTTATTTTAAAGAGAGACTGGTAATCTAGGGTTCATTTTCGGCGAGAGATCGTTCAGCTCGACTGTTGTGTAAGATTTAATTTGATTTCTCGTCATAATGCTTGTACAAACGTGATTAAGAATATTTCATCGATATCTCATTAGACTACGATGACTCAATATTTCGTCTAATCGTATTCAATGCAAATTTAACCAGCACCTAAACTTATCGGGAAGACACTGGATATTAACCAGTTAACCGTGTTTGACGAGTGTACACGTCATCGTGAAGCTTGACACGACACTAATTCTTTATTTTGTCACATAAACATGTAATTCTTCTTTATTTCAAATGACCCGTGCCTGATGTCTTTTTTCTGCAATTATTAGAAAGGTAACAAATGTTTCTCTGAGAAATTATTAAAGAAATTCAGTTAGCAAATTGAATTGTAAATCAATTGAAGTCTGAACAGATGCACTCTTGGAGTTTCCATAGCGAAATTTTCAAAAGTCAATTAAAGTGCTCGGTAGTTTTAGCGTTAACTGGTTAATACCTAATCGTCAACCACTTCGTGCTTTTCTTATCTGTCGGCGTTTAGTCGAAGTTAGCTGAAACTTAGAAGCAGACCCTATTAGTCAATCGCCCTTCCGCGTCCCCTGCTAATCGTCACGTTTCACAGCAATTATCGGCTTCCCCACTGAGTTACGTGAGTCAAATAGGTGTCCTTATCTACCGCATTCACCGATTTCTGGCCCACAGTTATCAGATCCTGTGCGTTCAAGGTTATCCGTATCAGGTACAGGCAGTCCCCGAGTTGCCTGTAGCAGATCAAATAATCCTGGCCTTCGTCATTATCGGTTCGCTGTGTGTGGGACACCTCTTATCAGATCTTGTAACTTCGCTTAATCTGCCAACCGAATCGCTGTTATCGGGTCGCGCGACCCAGGAAACTCTGCGGTTGAAAACACAATGTCTTCCGAGACTCTTTGTCGAAACACTTGTTCGTCCCCTCCTCTGGAACGACTGTTTCTTGTCGCTCCGTCAACATTCTATTTTGTAGTTTCACGGCTAGATCTACGGAATGCGTACGTTTGACGCATATTGGATCTCGTAAACATTATTTGGTAAATGTTTGTGTAATGTATCCTAATTGTCAATTCCTACACCTCTAATTTCCAAGATCCGACTGAACGAACGATTTTAGGAACAATAGAATAAATTGTAGAATATATGTCGGTAAATCTAGTGTTAAGAATTATTTACAATTGCGTAAGTATTCAGTGTGTACAAGGGTAAAGGAAAACACTCGTTTTTCTGTTTATCGTATCGCGAAACCGAGAGAAACGATTATTTTACAGAGCTTAACGAAGGCTATCGATTAGAACTGTTAGGAGAATGCAGGGGTAGAATATTAGGTAATTGTTTTAAAGGGTCAATTTTCTTCTTGCACTATTCTATAGGAACATGCTAATTATTCGAACAGCTCCTTTCAGTCTAATTCGAATGTTAGGAACCGTTAATCGAGCAAATTACGGAAAAAGGAAGAAATGCCCTTCGAACGATCCAACATCGCGCATCAATGGTTCTCGAGGCTCGGACTTTTTTCCTGGCCACGTTATTAGCTAGAAGCGACTCGGCGCACAGCGAAAATCGAAGATTCCGTTGTTCTCGCCGGACAGCCGAGCGATCGAAAAAGGGTAATCCGTGCTCAGCGCGAGCGTCGAAACGTTCGAATGCCGCTCGGATTACCGAGGCTCGTGCAATGCAGATTCCACTTGATTCCTGCTCTCGAGACACGAGATCCTCTAATTATTTCGAGAAGCTTACTTTCCATGCACCGAATCCTCGCGAGCACGCGGCCACGTGGAACAGCGACGACGTCGCGAGCGCGAAGCCGATCTGGTTCACGAGGAGAATAACAGAGACACGTGTTTTTTTCTAAAAATACATTTTTTCTATCGAGTAAAAATACTGTAGAACGACCGACGGTCCAGACAAATGGCAACTCGAGCAGAAGTGAT